CAGCCAAGTCAATGCTTACAGCGGTGTTGTCAACAATATACTTATTTTTAACAACGATTTTTGAAAACACTTTCTAACAAAACTGAAGTTCTCATGTGAAAACAACAACTTTATGAAGTGCATAGAATGTAAAAAATATACAAATAGAATTTCCCTCGACCCTGAAGCAATATGAATTCAACAAGTCCAGTTTCTTAGACACATTATGAAATTGTATGAAACTAATAAGTATGTGTTACTTTTTTCGGACTTCATATTTTCATATCAGTTTCAAACGAGATATAGGTACTTAATAAACTTTTAATTGACATCATTTTGTTTTAGGAGAAGACGAACAGATACATTTAACTAGCGATTCATCATATCACGATAGCCCCAAAAGGCTAGCAAAATCAGTTATGTGTAGAGAGCGGATTTATAAGCACAACAAAATTAAGAATAAGCGCTGAAACAAGCACAACATTTTCAATAAAAAAGTTTTATTTTAAGCAAAAAAGCATTAAATAAGCATAACACTTTCATTAAAAAAGTTTTATTTTAAGCAAAAAAGCATTAAAAACATAATCATATTACAAATCAAAGAACACTTCTTAGAACTTTGGATAAAATATTATTACAATAATCCTAGACTTTATATTTTACACACGTATTTCAGTTTTCTTTAAAACAATTTATGATTGTAATATGTTCCAAGTTGTCCACTGTAAAATTTTTTCGCCGATCATTTAAAATGTGTTTAAAATTGGAGAATGTGCGTTCAACATCCACACTCGTTGTTGACGCAAATTTGAATTTTGCAACTAATGTTGAATCTAACTCCAAATTTTCCACCTTCTGGCCTTGTAAAACACGAGCAACGTCGGAAAGAACACCGAAACCTGCATTTGTATTTAACACTTCGTCAAGTTTTTGAGATACTCTAGTACCAATATCACCCTTTACTGCGTTTGGTTGTTGTTTAAATTCTTTCACTAAGTTTATGGCATCTACCAACAACATGTTGGGTTTTTCTAACTTTTCTATTACCTCACATACGAATTGATAATTGCTTCTTAGAAAAGCTAGATTTTGTCGCAAATCTTTGTTTTCCAAAATATTTATGCAATCTTTAATCGATTGAGAAGAATCTTCGCTAAACTCCGTAACTATTTCCTCAAATTCTTTGATATATTTGTCATAATAAAATGTGGCCTGTAACCATGTTCCCCACCTCGTTATAATCGGCTCTGGGGTCAATGGTATGTTTGGAAATTTTTTCTTAAAATGTTGCACTCTTAGTGGGGCTTTAACAAAAATCTTTTTACCATTTGCCACTAATTTATTAACAGTAGGAAACTGCAAACCTATTCCTTCAGCCACTCTGTTTAAACCGTGGGCAATGCAAGTAGAGTGAATTAAATTGGGGTTCAATATTTTTAGATTATTCCATGCTTTCAACATATAACGAGCTGCATCCGAGATCATCAATAAAATTTTATTCGCCGGTACGGCATTTGGCAAAAATAGTGACGTAAAACTGTCATTTACAAATCAGGTAATCGTATTGCCATTTGTTTTATCTAACATTTTCAAACTTACTACATACCCTCGACTAGGGAAATTTTCATTTAAGATTCCAACAATTAAACTTGCCACGTATCTTCCACAACTATCGGTTGTTTGATCGACAGCGAACCATAAATAATTATCTCCAATGCGATGTTTAATTTCGTTGTAACCTTTCTGAAACACTGGGCCTACATAATTTTTTCGGAGAGTACTTTCAACCGGAATATGTCGTTTGCAGTGTTTTTCAAGGAATTCTTGAAGAGGGCCTTTCTCCAATTTTTTTAAAGGTATATTGGACTGGATCATCATTTTACATAAATCGAAATTAAACTGAAACTGCTCATATTTTGTGGAAGTAGATGCAACAGATTCATGTATGGTCTGCTGTTTAATTTTAAAAACTTCAAACATTTTCTTCCTTTCTACATGAAGAGTCGTTCTGACATGTTGCGTCACGTTATATTTTGTATCACTTTGAATCTAAAACAACGTACATATACAGGATTAACAAAGGAAAATAGATAAAAAAAAATAGTGGGCTGACGGTTTTCACACAAGCTCTGCAGAATATTTTGTTGTTTTCTAATTTTAATTCTGGAAAATCCCTTATCCACTCATCCGGCGTCGATTTTACTTTCGGCATTCTTTTAAAATATTAGTAATATTACCAAAAAGAACTCAACATGTAACAAGGGAGAACCACGTATAACACTGTACTACGAAAGATGCGATAAACTGATGGTTGTGAAATAAACGGTTCATTTACTTAAAAGTTTCCATTAGAAAAATTTTAAGGTAGGTAGTTGGGTACAATAATCTTTTTTTCTAGAAAATCTTCAACGGTCTTGCCGCAAAATGCCGAAAAAGAACATCTGGTTAAAAGCTTTAATTCATGATCATCGGAAGTAAGGATTTAAAGTCATAAAATCTATGGAGTATTTTTCCAATCCTATAATAAAATTTTATTACCCAAACGACCGGAACCTATTCACAGAAAAGGTCTTGAATAAGTGTACTTCAATGGTCAAGTCCAGGTAAAATGCATACGATACGATACGGCTAACTAACAAGTATTTGTCATCGCGACAATGCCGGCATTTGAACAAAATATGCATTAAAACTCATATTCGTCGAAAAAAGCATTAAATAAGCATATAAGTTTGAATATGCATAAAATTGAAAAAAAAAGCAAATAATAATAAAAAAAAATGTGTCAAATAACTCCAAATTGTATCATAGTTACAGATATAAAAACTTTTGAAGTGCTGACATTTTTCACAAAAAGCATTAAACCTAGAAATCCGCTCTCTGGTTATGTGGTTTCCAAGATAAATTGTAAAAAAAATGTTTCAAACTTTGATTTTTTCTCAAAAGGCGCACGTACAGTATTAAAAACAGAAGTGCATTAATAATATATGTAATATTATGAAACAAATAACCATTGCGGATAAAAAATTAAAGTAATAGATTATTATAGGTACCTATAACCAAAAATTTCAATAATAAGTACAAAAATACAATAAGATATTGTATGTTATCATTAAGAATTGTTTTCATCTTGGTCAAAAAGTCTCTCTTCTCACGTAAATTAACTTTAAAAAATAAATTGACCACTGTAAATTTTGGAATCTTCATGACGTTTAATAAATAAATATTTTATTTAATTGAATAACAGTCTGGATCATTTAAATAATAATAGTATTTATATTCTAGCTATCGTGGCTCTAGATGTTTATTTACTCGCACGTTACGACTGTGGTATCATAAAAAATTAAATTAACAAGTAAAATTCCTAAAAAAGACACTTGCCAATATCGAGTAACATCGATTTTAAAATCCCGTTGATCTAATTAGTTGATAACATAGCCGCGGCAATATCGGTATTATAAATAAAATCGAACTTATTTTCAAATCTAAATACTCCTAATAAACCTTCTCTATCTACCCATCTACTTTTTAAGACGTCAAGATTCCCTTTCGATTCCGATTTTAACATGTCCCCTGCAAGAACGTCAATTAGCAACCACGAAAACATCATATTTCAGTACACATTTTCGAATTTTCGATAAACCGTCCAGATACCAACCACTCCACTTTATCTAAAAATCATCACCTATAACTTTCCGCACCAATCGCTTGACTCAGATCGCATATTTATAAACCGCATTTTTCCATCGGTTCAAAGCAGGTATCAATAGACCAAGTCGTCTCGAAAAAATCAAGCCCCGACCTCCCACCATCCCCCAACAATAAAATATCTGTGAAATCATCGTGAGAACCCCGATCTCGAGCCGATCTATAAAAAAGCCCGTCGATAATTCTTCACAAATCAAATTCCGATAAATAACAGTTTGAATAGACCCAATCGACATAAATTCACTCTCGGATGGCAACAGGTGGGACATTTTTAGGTCCAAGTTCTTCCAAACAACTTGTAAAGTTATCCTGAAAGTTGCGAGCGCCTGTCCTTTGTAGGGAACTCACCTTTTTTAAAGTACGAGTCCTTTGAAATATTTAAGGTCGGCCAAGTTCGGGGTGAGAGTAGGTGGAACGACTGAGGGTAAGGCAGAAGGAGGGCTGAAGTGGCTGGACCGCGACGTCAAGACGTTGGGTTTTTAACCCTCTTTCTTTTAAACGGCTTTGACCACCCTCGACTATCGGCGCGGCGGGACGGTTTTGTGGTGGTGTGAAAGGGAATTGAAGGTTTTACGGAGTATTGGTTGCTGACGAATCTATTTTTTTTACATTTTTAAAATCATGAAAATAATTGAAAAAATTATGAAAGTTTAATGAAGATGTGGTTTTATGAAGGGGGAAAGCTGCGTATTATTTAACTATGATTAAAGTGTGGATTAAATATTGTTCTTTGAATTTGTAGCGAGCTAAACAGTATTAATAAGACTTATCTCTCAAGGTTTTGTATGTTCGCTTTTTTGTGTAAACGTAATGAATTAACGAATAGATCATTCTCTACTTGATAGTCATAACTTTTATCATAACATCAATTAAATATTAAGCAAAAATTACAAAAACATATAAGGTAATTGAAAAGTGAAACTCTACTCACACGGTGTTACGTTGTATCCACTAATTTTTTTTGACGTGGCCTTCGGTAGAAATCTAGGAGTTGTAATCGCAAGAATGGAGGCCCGCCGAAAAGAAATGTCAACAAATGATTTGTTAAATAACGAGAGGCAAAATTTCTAGCATTTAGAAAACGTATTCACAGTTTAATTAAAAGTCACATTTTAGTGTAAAAGCTTACTTCGGAAATTTGAAGAATTTTCTGTCAGTTAATGGTGTTCAGTGGATATGGATTTGTTTTTCAAATGTGAATGTATTCCAGATGTTCAGTTTTGTAAAATTGTATCTACATCCAGCTTTTTGGTTCTTTGAATCTGAATCGTGTCGACCATATAAAATACCTAAGTATTTTAAGAATCATTAAACAGTTTTCATTTATAAAAACATTTATTGTTTAAACTGTACACAGAATCTTTGATTAGCACCTCCGCTGCTGTCATTCATCTGTACAGGTGTTCCTGGGAGAAGAGCCCAGTCTGTTATTTCCATCACTTTATTGTCTGCTGGATTGATGATGGTCATATCATCAAAATTATAGTACCACTCTTGTTCAGCTTTGTCATGTATTAAAGACGTGCCATCCACACTCAAGTACCTTCTGCCAAAATAGAGAAAAGTCCTGTTTGATTTTTAAAATGATTTTTTACTTACTCAGTTCCAAAATTATATACATAAAAATTTCCACGTTTGGCACAGTCGAAACGCCATAGTTGGGTTGGACTTGCTACGTATTCTCTCACTTTTATTTCAATCTCACTTGCATCGAGAACAAGTGATGATGCTGGGTTTACAACAACGATGGCATTTTGAAATTCAGGGTAACACTGGTTATTTTGTCTCACCAGACAACACGGGGTTATAAATTGATGAAATTCGGTGCAGAAACCGCAGCAAGTACAGCAGGCCATGTTTGAATTCCCTTATCAATACTACTGCAAGTTTGGGGGACATTCGGGTTTTTAAGAGAAGTTTGAATTTTTGACATTTGTATTTTTAATACGACAGAGAATTCCATAGCCCACATAATAATAATAATAATAATAATAATAATATGTTCTTTATTGTCCAACAGATTTACCACTTATAGGACAATATTAATAACAATGTGTGTTTAACAAAATAAAGTTAAATAAAGAAAATTAACAATAAAAAAAGAAAAAAATATAACAAATTTCTGGGTGTCCCTAACAAAATACATCATTATATACATTATCTACAGCTTTACACATGACATGAATCGGTGAACGTTGTAAAACATTTGTTCTCGCCGTTGGCACTTGAAAACTTGCTTCATATCGTGATGCTAAACGTGGCACATAAAATGGTAATTTGGAAAGTAAAAATGCACAGTCAATCTTATTGTGTATTAACTTATAAGCAAATTTTGCACAGCACATTTCTCTCCTTTGTAATAATGACTTCATATTATGTCGACTTTGCAAATTTTGCTGATCAGTACCAATCTGTGGATAAACTCCATCAATTTTAAATGATAAATATTTTAAAAACCTTCTGTGAATTTTCTCTAAGGCCATAATATGAGATACATAAATAGGGTTCCATACAAGACTTGCATACTCAATTTTACTTAACACATATGCAAAATAAAGTTGTTTAATTAAAGTTAAGTCAGAAAAATGCCTACATGTTCTCATAACAAAACCTAATGATTTATACGCCGATGTGCAAACAACCTCTAGATGTGGAAGAAATGATAATTCGGAATCAAAAGTTACTCCTAGATCCTTCATGCAATTCTTTTGCTTAATAATATGATTTCCCAACACATAGGACGATTGAGTTGAAGTTTTTTTACGGCTGTATTTGACAAGAAAACATTTTTCCTTGTTCAATGGCAACTTAAACATGTCACACCAACTAATCATCAGATTGATATTATTCTGCAAGATATCTACATCAACTGCACTGCCAATGGAGTGATATAGTTTAATATCATCAGCGTATGCAAGGACTGGGCAACTAAATTGTTCGAGTAGATCATTAATAAATAGAATGAATAAAAGAGGACCAAGATTAGAGCCCTGCGGAACTCCGGAATTAACTGAGAATTTATAAGACACATAACCACTATAAGCAACGTAAGATGTTCTGTCTTTTAAATAAGAACGCATTAACAGCAATGAATCCTCCGACAATCCATACAAATCAAGCTTTTGCAGAAGAATACTATGTTGAATTGAATCAAAAGCTCGAGTGAAATCAGTGTAGACTACATCAGCTTGACCTCGAATATCAATTATTTCACTTAAATATTGCGTGATAGTGGCTAAATTACTAACTGTAGACCGACCACTAACGAAGCCATGCTGATAGGGAGAGATATATTTTTTCACATTATTGTAGATTGTTAAATATAGTGATTGTTCAAAAACTTTCGAAAAATTTGGCAATATAGAAATCTGTCTGTAATTTAACACATCTGAACTATCACCTTTCTTCAAAATTGGGCAGATCCTGGCGCATTTCCACTTTGATGGAAAGGTTGAAGTTTTAATGGCAAGGTTGAAAATAAGTGATAATGGTTCCGCAAATGCAGATCTACAATCCCGAACAATGAAACTCGGGATTAGATCGTCTCCCGCTGTGAATTTATCATGAAACTTGGACATTATATTAATAAGTTCAACTGGGCTGACGTAAGGAAATTGAAATGGTAAAGCGTTACTGGAAGATTGAGATGGAATGTGTGGAGAATCACTTGAATATGATTTCGAAAAATTTTCTGCAAAAGCATTAACTATACTTTGTGGATCAGTGTATTCGGATAAACCATTGTGAACTCGACCAGGAATTCTTGTAGAACTACGTCGTTGGTTTAAATAGTTCCATAAATTAGAAGGATTCGACTTAAGATTTCTTTGAACTAAATCGAGGTAAGAATTATGAGCTTCAGAAATCTGCATTTTCACTAGACTGCGGAGACGTTTAAATTCAAGTTGATATGTTTCATTGTGAGTTGTTATCCATTTACGTCTATAATTTTCTTTGTTTCTTAAATTAGCTATAATTTGAGATGTGAACCATACGGGATACCTTGTTTTACGGGGACACTTTTTTGGAACATGCGCATCAAATATATTATATAATACAGAATAAAAATGATCTACAGCGTGATTAACATTATCTAAATGTTTAAGATAAGACCAGTCAATATTAAGTAATGCATCATATAACAATGGAAAATTCGCTTTACGAAAATTGTACACCCGTTTATTATTTGGAGGAAATTTAAGAGGTTTCGAAGTTTCTAAACCATCAAGTGTTATTAACAACGCAGGATGAAGTACATCTTCTCTAACTAATGGATGATTGCATTGAGTAACTGACATTTGCCATTGCTTATTTGCAAATACTAAATCTAATAATTTATTATCAGAATTCATAATACCATTATACTGAGTTATGTCCAAGATATCAATAAAATGCTGCAAAGAAATTGACTTACTCGATAAAGGTTTATTTGAAGTAACATAATCTGGAACATTAAAGTCACCAATCAATATAAATTTCTCATTAAATAAGAATTGTTCAAGTGCTGAAGTAAACGTATCAAGATCATTAGCTGAAACATCAGGGGGTATATAAACAACGCCTAAAACAATATGAAAAGTATGAATTACACATTTGCATAAAACTATATCAATTAAAGGAACTATAGAGGAAAAATGTGTTGTATCAATTACTGTACAGGTATATTTATTTGATAACGCAAGAAGAACACCACCACCTTTTGAACGATTTACACTAGCAAATTTGCGATCACACCGAACAATATGATAAGAATCACCTGGTAATAATTCATTGTTAAAAACAGAATCATTCAGCCATGTTTCTGATATTACAATAATATCAAAATTGTGCACCAAAGAATTAAGATAAAACTCATGTGTTTTGGAATTTAAACCTCTAGCATTCTGGTAAAATATAGTCAGTGGAGCTACTCTGTCGGACTTACCTAGTTTACCGTAATCGTGTTATTATTTTTCGCACCGTTGATAGGAACGGATACAATAGCTGGAATACCATTGCGATATTTAATCTGTAAATTAGTTTCTCCATTGAGACGCCGAGTGTTTAGCTCTTCTTTAACAGATTTATAAAAATTGAGTTGTCTTGGCGTTCTGTCAAAGGATACAGATAATGCTGAGAAGGTTTCAACAGCTCTTATTTTTTTAACATTCCGTATAACAGTATGAACTGCATTCGACGAAGAAAGACGAACTCTAATTGGTCTAGATCTATGTTGTTTGCTACCATCAAACTTTCCTAGCCGAACAGGTTTAACTTCTTCAGTCAAACCTACAAGTGAAATTATGTCAGAAACTAACGTAGTGTCCTGATCGACCTGCTCTTGTTTAGAAATACCACTTTCCATTGAATTAAATATTATTAAATTATTTGCCCTTTTATCACGTTCCGAAATTTCGTTCACAATTTCTTCCATTGCTTGAGACGATAACAAGTTATTCGTAGCTACAACATTAATAGGGTTAGCATTTGCTTCTTTTAGTTGTGTTATTTCATTTTTGAGTTCGGTGAGTAGCGACATTATTTTGGGTATTTGATGTAGCCCTTGTTCACACTCAATGCAAATATATTTGATTCTGCGCTTGGTATTAGATCTGAGTTCTAAGCATTTCAAATCCGCGGCTGTCAATTCAGAACAAGTAGCGTGTATTGGTCGACTACAACCATCACATTTAACATAAGATTTAGGAATACTTTCTTGTATGTTAGTTCCACATTTAAGGCAAGACATAGTTGTAGTAGTCAGCAACCCACAAAACTTCAAAAATGATCACAGCGCACAGAAAAATGTGACGGGATAAAGAACTAACAATGTAAACAAAGCACGAACGCCCGAAACTATTAAGCAAATTTGTACCACAAATAATAGCAGCTCTTAAACGATTGCTATGCCATATAGGCACGATACCATCAATAGTCAAATTTTTAGGAAACTTACGAAATGATTGTAAATATAAACCACACTTTCGAAGTAATAAAGCGTAAACGATACACACCGTGCACCGTGCACGTATTGTATATAATAATACAGTCAATCCGGTATCGTCCATTGTAGGTATGCAGCATGCAGCAGGTTTTTTTTTTATATCGTAGAGGGAACGACCATGAGTGTCAATTTGAGTTTTCGGGAGCGGGGTTGTTCGTATTCGGTCACCATCTTGAAATAAGTGTGGATTATTTTTTGAGTTTCTTCATAACCGTAAGTCTGACAAAAAGTTTGTAAGGAACAGTTCTACACTCAGTAGATTTATCTACAACGTTCAATTTTTGACGTAAAGTTAATGAAAAAGTTATAACCGAAAAATTGAAAAACTAGAAGACGATAAAATTATGAGACGAGGTAACTCTGGTATTTTCAATCCTACAGAGAGTAGACGGATTTATTAATGAATTCTAAAGTTATGTTATGAGTTATGTTGTAAACCCGTTTGGGAGGATGAAACGACTATTGACAAAAAAAAGGTAAAAAATAATAATTCATTGATAACAGGAACAAGTGAAGATCTTTAAGCAAATTTGTATCATAAAAGATCTATGTGATGTCAACCTCACATTTTTAATATCACTTCCGTTAGAACCAAAAATGACGTCAACTTTATTTTGTTCTATGGAACACTAGGTGGGAATAATAATACATGAAGATTTTGTGCCAAATATCAGTAGATGGAAGTTCATATAGGAAAGACTAATAAGTGTAAAATGTCGAAAAGGAAATAGAGAAAAAGTGACCACCTTTACGGCTTATGGATCTTCTGAAAATGACCCATAAGCAACCAAGGATGAATTCTGGGAGCTACTACAAGAGGAAAGGGACCAAGTAGGTCATGAGATAATGATAATATGTGATCTAAACGGGAGAGTTGGGAAAGCAGGTGAATTAGATTATCCGGTTGGAATGTATAGAGAAGAGGTGCCAATAAATAACAATGGGAAAAATTA